TACCCATAACATGTCAATCAGTGTCAAACACATTTGCCGGAAACGTTCTTTCCTGCCTGTAGCCTTGAATTTTTCTGGTTTTAGAAAACTGGTTTTCTAGTTTCTGTCTGAAGAAAAAAAAATATGAGCTTAGACTAGTGGAAAATATATTTCATTTGAGTTTAAACATAGTTGCCAATTCAAATGATTTTTAGAATAATTATTTTCACCTATCTTGATGATTTCTCAAGTAGTCAATCAGACCATCAGTGCTACGAAGCAGACAGCCCCAAATAGGGAAAACATTTTTTAAAAATGTCCATGTTATTACTTTGACGTAACCCTACGTTCAACACAAGTACACATATTAATGAGAAAAGAGTCTTCTCTGATATTTCACTCTCCTGAAATGTACAAAAAATGCTTTGCTGTGATCCAGAATTCTCTTTTTAATGATTTTTAACATATGATCAAGTCTAATCTCTCTAAATTTTATAAAATACCCTAATACATTGAGGAGAAAAGGAAAAATTACAATATTTCAATAGTTCTATCTTGGCTCTAGTGAATAATCAGTCCTTTTTGGCAAAGACGTGAGCTATGAAAACCTTTGTATATGAGCAAGAAATGCAGACTATAATACTAGACTTCTTTTAGTGAGACAGAATTCCAAATATAAGGTGAGACTATAACTATGTGAATACATTGGAGACTAATCAAAAAGTTTTTTTTTTTTTTGAGACAGAGTTTCGCTCTTGTTACCCAGGCTGGAGTGCAATGGCGCGATCTTGGCTCACCGCAACCTCCGCCTCCTGGGTTCAGGCAATTCTCCTGCCTCAGCCTCCTGAGTAGCTGGGATTACAGGCACGCGCCACCACGCCCAGCTAATTTTTTGTATTTTTAGTAGAGACGGGGTTTCACCATGTTGACCAGGATGGTCTCGATCTCTTGACCTCGTGATCCACCCACCTCAGCCTCCCAAAGTGCTGGGATTACAGGCGTGAGCCACCGTGCCCAGCTAATTTTCTGTATTTTTAGTAGAGACGGGGTTTCACCATGTTGACCGGGATGGTCTCGATCTCTTGACCTCGTGATCCACCCGCCTCTGTACTTATTCACGGAAAAAAACGTCCTCATGAGCTTTTGTTATGAATGTCCCTGCTGTATCTGCGTGTCTAGCTACGTGCCACACATTTGTTATTCAGCGAGAGAGGATGCGTTCAACACACACTGCACAAAAGGTTTTCCTTTGGTGGCGAAAATCACTTGCCAATTTGTGTGATTAATCTTCCTGGTGAACATCAATTACATGCAACAGCAAAATGTCTGTCACTGCAGCTAAGAAAAGAAAATGTCCCAACGGAACGACTGTCAAAGTAGATTAAGTCCTGTTTAAATCTCTACAGTGATCGAATTTCTGTAAACTTTGTTTCATTCCTGAGCTTTGTCCAAAGCTGGTAGGAATAGGATGCGGAACACCTGGGGGGGAAAGTCTGCTCTTCCCTCCAACGAAGCGGGAGTGTCATCTCAGGATGCGGGGGAAGCACCTCCATGAAGATGGCTTCTTCCAGAGAGTGAGCACTAGGTCCAAGCGGGATGAAAAGTCCGGATCATTCTAGAGTGTTCTCATTGTTCCTTCTAGGCACAAAAACAAGATGTGATGCAGCCATTTCTGTAACACCAAAATTAGATGATTATTTTAATTAGCACAATATGGGAGTGAAAACCAGCTGCTTGACGCCCTCAGTCACTTTTCCTTCCCTCTGTCTTGTCCTTCCTGCCTTTTTTTTTTCTTATACATGTGTGCAGAGTGTTTTGCTATGGCAGGATGCTTATGTACGTAGCAGGAATAGGAAGACACCTGAGTGAATATGGATGAAGACAATTCAGTTGTGTGTCTTTATGAAACTATTATGCCTTGATATTTATTAAACATGTGTAACATTTTCTTCTGATTTTTGCTATGGGTGAGAGATGTTATAAATTTACCAACACCATCATACTCTATTTTTTTTTTCAGGAAAATGCATCAGAGATTTAGAAAATCATAGCCAAGCAAAATCTTCCTTCCTTCCTTCCCTCCCTCCCTTCCTCCTTTCCTTCCCTCCCTCCCTCCCTCCTTCCTTCCCTCCCTCCTTCCTTCCGTCCCTTCCTCCCTCCCTCCCTTCCTCCTTCCTTCCCTCCCTCCTTCCTTCCGTCCCTTCCTCCCTCCCTCCCTTCCTCCTTCCTTCCCTCCCTCCTTCCTTCTTTCTTTCCTTCCCTCCTTCCCTCCCTCCTTCCCTCCCTTCCTCCCTCCCTCCTTCCTTCCTTCCCTCCCTCCTTCCCTCCTTCCTTCCCTCCCTCCTTCCTTCCCTCCCTCCTTCCCTCCTTCCCTCCCTCCTTCCTTCCTTCCCTCCCTCCTTCCTTCCTTCCCTCCCTCCTTCCTTTTCTCCTTCCCTCCCTCCTTCCTTCCCTCCCTCCTTCCTTCCCTCCCTCCTTCCTTCCGTCCCTTCCTCCCTCCCTCCCTTCCTCCTTCCTTCCCTCCCTCCTTCCTTCTTTCTTTCCTTCCCTCCTTCCCTCCCTCCTTCCTTCTCTCCCTCTTTCCCTCCTTCCTTCCCTCCCTCCCTCCTTCCCTCCCTCCTTCCCTCCTTCCTTCCCTTCCTCCCTCCCTCCTTCCTTCCTTCCCTCCCTCCTTCCCTCCTTCCTTCCCTCCCTCCTTCCTTCCCTCCCTCCTTCCCTCCTTCCCTCCCTCCTTCCTTCCCTCCCTCCTTCCTTCCCTCCCTCCTTCCTTCCCTCCCTCCTTCCTTCCTTCCCTCCCTCCTTTTCTCCTTCCCTCCTTCCTTCCTTCCCTCCCTCCTTCCTTCCCTCCTTTCCTCCCTCCTTCCTTCTTTCCCTCCTTCCTTCCCTCCCTCCTTCCTTCCCTCCCTCCTTCCTTCCCTCCCTCCTTCCCTCCTTCCTTCCCTCCTTCCCTCCTTCCCTTCCTTCCCTCCCTCCTTCCCTCCTTCCTTCCCTCTCTCCTTCCCTCCTTCCCTCCCTCCTCCCTCCTTCCTTCTGTTTTGTCGTTTTAAATAATAAGTTCAATATAGATCAAACGTGGCGTGGAAGTAGTATCGGTTGGCATAAAGTAAATGTTTCAATTAGTTTAAATTCAGTTATCCCTATGGCCTCTTGAAAAACAGGAGTGAGTGGGGTGATGCTTCTTGTTACCCATATGCTGAGTACCCTGCTCTAGGCACAGTTGTCATGGATACCGCTTGCTGAGCCTCCACAGACCTTGACTCTCTAGTGTTGACAGGGAGTTGATAGACTGAAGCCACATGTTAGACCGCAGCGAGTTGAGCTTGCTGAAAGGCGGGCAGGGTGGGCGCAGTGGAACTCCATGTCCCCTTCTGGGTGTGCTCTGATAAGATTAGAAAAAGCCATTGTTGGCTCAGTTGCCCTTTGCTGCCTTTTTGGGGGACAAGGGGGGCTGGAAGAAGGGAGGCTAGTGCAGAGAGTTGGCAGGTGAAGCTCGTCCATAACCCTAAGCCGCTGGGTAGAAACCGAAGTGGGACTACAACCAGGGCCATTTAGGAAAGTAACTCGCTTATGACAATCTCGGCGCTGTCGGCCTTGAGCACCAGTTTATGTAGACCGTAAGCTTGTTGAGTTCAGAGACCAGGTTTCATTCATTTCGGAGCTTCCCGAATAACAGTAACACGCTGCAGCCGGTACGTGGCCTGTCATCCCTTGCTGAATTAAACGCACGCTTTTCTGCCGGCTTCTTTCCATTTCCTTAATCAGAAAATAAGTATCGCTTGTGCCAAATGCCTATCGGGAAGAGGGATTTTCAAACTAGCTGACCCGCAGGGCTCTGACCTCAACCTTTAGGTGGGCTTTGAGGATGGCCACAGGTCAGAAGCAGGTCCTGGAAGCCTCCTGCTCCCTCAGAGACTGACCATCACCTAGGACTGCTGGGGAGGACCCAGGTGAGGGGCCAGGGACCGAGGGAGCCGGTTCACAGGGATGAGAGAGCACCAGCCTCTCGCCAGTGGGTGTGGATGTGTTGGGGTGTTTTCACGGCCACCCGGCTTGTGGGGTGCTGCCCGGAACCTCCCCGGGGTGCATTTACGTCGTGAACACTCATGCCTTTGGCAAGAAACACCAGCCAGATTCTACCATATTCATAAATTCGTCTCCTTGACAATTTTAAATATCTGGCAAAAGAGGCAGGTCGTGAGCAGCATTTTCACCTTCTCTGTTACCTGTGTGATCAGTGAGCAGAGCCCTGCTCCAGGGCCCAGCGTGCACTGAGAAGACTGCGACGTCTCCAGAGGCTGAGCAGTCCAGGATTGACAGGGTGAAGTCTGGTGGTTGTTATGTTGGACAGGGGACAGTGACTCTGTCTCAGAGTCAGCTGGTCCGCGTCAACTCTGATTCTCTGTCTCGCACTGTCGCCCAGGCTGGAGTGCAATGGTGTGATCTCGGCTCACTGCAACCCCCGCCTCCGGGGTTCAAGTGATTCTCCTGCCTCAGTCTCCCGAAAAGCTAGGATTACAGGCATGCACCACCACACCCAGCTAAGTTTTGTATTTTTTATTTTTAATAGAGACAGTGTTTCACTGTGTTGGCCAGGCTGGTCTCAAACTCCTGACCTTGTGATTCACCCGCCTGGGCCTCCCAAAGTGCTGGCATTACAGGCCTGAGCAAGTGTGCCTGGCCTTGAGTCTCCTTAGAAGAAGGGAATGAATTGATATGTGGATCTAGAAAACCCGTTCAGCATTTCCTTGAAGTCAAGCAGTATCGAGACCGGGTCCTGAGCCTGGGTAAAGACACCAGCTTGGCGAAACCCTCTCTGTGTTGGTGCATGTTTTTCTGTCGTGCACTCAAACTTGGTCTGGGTGACTGGGTGGACAGTCACTAGAACTGCGAACTACCTCCCTTCCCCCAGAAGAACATTTTGGGAGGTTGTCTGTATTGTTGCTTATGGTGAGCAGGCTGTGGGGGGCATTTTGGAATTCATGGGCTTTCCTTACCATGTAAATCTTCTTTATATTTTTCAGTTACCTCCCCTGTGTTCCAGGCTGAATTGTATCACCCCGAAATTCATGTGCTGAAGGACATCGAAGGTGGACATACTGGAGATAACAGCCTTTGAGGGGTAATTAAGATAAGATGGCCTCTTTAGGGTGGGGCCCTAGTCCAGTCTGACAGGTGTCCTTATGAGAAGAGGAGCTGAGGACCCCGCCACACAGAGGACACAGAAGGAAGACAGCCATCCCCACGCAAGGACAGAGGCCTCGGGAGAAACACCAGCACCTGGGCCTTCCAGGCTTCAGAACAGTGAGGAGAGAAACCCGTGTGGTCCAAGCTGTGTGGTCCAAGGTACTTCCCCACCACAGCCCTGGGGACTGATCATGTGTGGTCCCATAAAAGTGCACCAAACTGAGTAAAAGGGCCACACCTTTCTTAATGTCCGCCTCTGTCACGTTTCACTCTGATCCATGCCTTCGGTCGTTTCTGCCGGTGTGTCTGTGGCCGTGGCAGTGGCCATGGCCGTGGCCTCTGGTCCCACCCCTGCGACCCTCGCCTGCATCACTGATGCCTCAGTCTCCTTTCTCCCTTTCTCCTCGGTCCTCCCCAGCCTGTCCACCCGGCCATCAGCAGCTGACCTCTCCCAAGGAGGTCACAGGCACCTCCTTCTTAAGTCCACAGCTTGATTATCTCTTAGCCAAAATGCGTGGGACTGGAAACGTTTTTGATTTTTTTTTTTTTGAGATAGTTGCACATATAGAATAAGATACGTTAAGGGTTGGGGCACAAATCTAAACACCTAATCCATTTGTTTTATGTATACCATATCCACGTAGGCTGAAGGTAATTTTATACATTATTTTTAATAATTTTTGTGCCTGAAACAAAGTTTGTGCACACCGAGCCATCATAAAGACACATGATGACTGGAGGGTCGTTTTTCCCTTGGGGGCGCTGGATAAACCGTGTCCTGCGCCCGGCACCTGAGGTCAGGGGTGGAATTCTCCACCTGTGATGTCACATTCAGACTCAAAATGTCTGGGAGTGTTGCAGCACTTTGGATTCCAGATGTGAGGGTTAGGGATGCTCAACCTGTACCACCTCCTCCTTGAACTCTTCTCGCTCCAGGTTCTTCTCTTAGAACCGTGGACCGAAACTTCTCAGCACACCCCTGGGGGAGTGGGCAGGCTGGAGAAGAGCTGTTGACCTCCTGTTGCTGGAGGTCCACAGCGGAAGCTACATGTGTGAGGATTGGGAGGAATTTTACTTTCCAACTTGATTTTCTATCTTCCTTGCCTAAAAGAAAAATGCTCTTGATAGTAAAACTGGAAAGTGTGCCAGTGTGAAAATGTGCACAGACAAGTGCGTGACTCGTAAAGCTTTGATCAGTGTCTCACAGGAGCGGGCAGATCTCTGCAGAGCAGGCGGGAATTTCCTTTTATTCTCAGTGCCTCCTGCCAGCCAAGGAGGAAAACGATGAGGCCGGAAGAAAAGGCCCGGAGATTGGGAAGTGAGACCCATTCTGCCACTAGCATCGCCTCATCGCAAAAGGTTCTTTTAAAAAATCATTGTTTTTAAAGACACAGGCATATTTAATAGCCTAAATAAACATCAGCTGTGCACAGAGTAACACGCTTGAGAAATTCAGGTGAGGGTCGTTTGTCACGACGCAAACTCATCAGTGCCGCGCGATGCAGAGCAGGTGCTAACTTCTTTTAATGAGGCCCTATTTATAAGGCCGCCCTTGGAAGGAAAGCCAGACCAGGACGGGGGTAGACAGGAAGCACGCTGACGGTGTTCTGTGAAAAATCAAGTGTTAGACTACCTAGAACAGGACAGCTGCAGGAGACACCAGGAGTTAAATGAGCGTCTGCTCTGATTGTGGAACTAGTAAAAACTGCCTGCCAAGCTTGAAAAACACTCAGTCAAAATGTTTTTTAAATTTTGTAGAGCTGCAAGGCGAACAAGGAAGAATGAAAGACGGAGCTAAAAAGATCGACATGCGGAGAGCAGTAGCTGGTTGGAGGTAGGAAATGGGTTATTTACCTTACCCTTCAAACCAATTTTAAAGTAACCGATTTAGTTTCTGACTGCTGGCGTCGTTAAAAGAGGGAAAGGGAAAGCAGTCAGAAAGGCAAGTATCAGAGTAATGAAAAGTAAAGGCAGAATAAATGTAAAATAGTGTGTGTTCTGTTCGCTAGAGATAAAAATCCTGCTGGAGTTAGACGTAGTAAATGTTGTGACAAATATATGTGAAAAGCTCTCAATATTAACCACTTGTTCTATCACACGATTGTGTGTTTAGTTAGAATAGATGCTATTCTCGTGTTTTGAAAAAAAAATTAAAATAAAAATTTGCCACCACATTCCTCTTACTCAAAGATGAAAAAACGTCTTTTGATGTTTAGCAGAGGAAGCTAAAAAAGCAAAGATAAAAAATGGATAAGGAAAGCACCTTCATTTAAGAACAGCCATTTACAGCTTTCTTTCCCGCAGAGATGATACGTTTTCATCTTGGTGGGAATGAGAATTAAAAAGCTGGATGTTTCCCTTTGTGATTTGGTTGCCCGGGAGGTCAGAGCCAAACTACGGTCATCTGTTGCTTCCTGATTGCCCGTTCGTGTTTTACAGGCTTTAAGCACCTTTTCTGGCTCAGGGTTTTGCTTTTTGATAATGCTTTTTTATTACACGAGACATGCACACGCTGCTGTGGCAGCACACAGTAGAAAGCAACAAATACTAACACCCATACATCTGTACGTCCTGTCACCCCAAGGCAACCGTCGAAACTGCTCTGCTCTCATGCCCTCTGGATGTGTGTGTGCACGTACGTGTGCGGGAACACATACCTGAGACGGTTCTGATGCCCCAGCGTGTGCTGTTTCATTTTACTGTAAACGTTAACTGATGGTGGTAAATATCATGTGCGTATTCCTGAGTTGTTTCATTCTGAGTCGTTTCACTTAGAATGTGACTCCCATTGATGCAAAAGACGTTCCTACATTTTTGTGTGGATGAGTAGCGTTCCACGGCATATAGATACCACACTTTCTTCCGCATCCATTCTGTGCTATGGAAATACTGTGCTTTATTTGACCTGTTTTTGATGTTTCTGTATTATAAAAAATGCCTAAATATATTCTTTAAAACAATTTCAGTAGCTTTAGAGGTACAGGTAGTTTTGGTTGCATGGATGAATTGCGTCGTGATGAAATCTGAAATTTTCCTGTGCTGTCACCTGATACTATGCAGTTTTTTCGTCCCTTACCACCACTCTCAGCCTCTCCACTTCTGAGTCTCCGATGTCCATGATCCCACCCTGTATGCCTTTACCTCCCCATAGCTTAGCTCCCACTTACATGAGAGAACACGCGGTGTTTGGTTTCCCATTCCTGAGTCGTTTCACTTAGAATAGTGACTTCCAGCTCCATTCAAGTTGCTGCAAAAGATGCTCTTGCATTTTTGTACGGATGAGTAGCGTTCCATGGTGTAGGATTACCGCACTTCTTCATCCACACGTCAGTCCATAGGTGCTTAGGTCGCTGTCACGTCTTTTCAGTTGTGAATTGTGCTGTCACATATATGTATATATGTGTATGTGTGTGTGTGTGTGTGTGTGTGTGTGTATCTAGATGTAGATATAGATATACATACATACATATATGCAGGCATCTTTTTTATGTCATGACCTCTTTTCCTTTGGGTAGATACCCAGTATGGGATTGCTTCACCCAATGGTAGATCTACTTTTGGTCCTTTGAGAACTCTCCATACTATTTTCCATACTGGTTGTACTAATTTACATGCCTCCCAGCAGTGTGTAAGTCCCCTTTCACCACACCCATGCCAGCGTCTGTTGTTCTTTGACTTCTAAATAATGGCCATTCTGGCTGGGGTCAAGTGGCATCTCGCTATGGCTTTCATTTCCGCTCTCTGATGATGAGCAGTGTTAAGCTCGTCTGTGCCATTTGCCCACTTTGTGAGGGGTGGTTGTTTTTTTCTTGCTGATTTGTCGGAGTTCCTCGTCGATGCTGGATATTAGTTCTTTGTCAGATGCATAGTTTGAGAATATTTTCTCTCATTCCGCGGGTTGTCTGTTTACGCTGATGATGACTTCTTTTATTGTGCAGAAGCTTTTTACTTTAACTAGGTCCCACTCACTTATTTTTGTTAATGTTGCATTTGCTTTTGGGGTCTTAGTTGTAAATTATTTGCCTAGAACAATGTTCAGAAGAGTTTGTCCCTGGGATGCAACGCTGGTTCAATATGCATAAAGCAATAAACATAATTTATCACGTAAACAGAACCAGTGACAAAAACTACATGATTATCTCAATAGATGCAGAAAAGACCATTGATAAAATTCAATACCCTTGTATGCTCATGGATAGGAAGTATCAATATCATGAAAATGGCCATACTGCCCTAAATAATTTATAGATTCAATGCTATTCCCATCAGGCTGCCACTGACTTTCTTCACAGATTTAGAAAAAACTACTTTAAATTTTATATGGAACCAAAAAAAAAGCCTGTATAGCCAAGACAATCCTAAGCGAAAAGAACAAAGCTGGAGGCATCACACTACCTGACTTCAAACTATGCTACAAGACTACAGCAAGCAAAACAGCATGGTACGGGTACCAAAACAGATACATAGACCAATGCATCAGAAAAGAGGCCTCAGAAATAACACTACATATCTACAACCATCTGATCTTTGACAAATTGGACAAAAACAAGCAACGGGGGAAAGAATTCCCTGTTTAATAAATGGAAAACTGACTAGCCATACGTAGAGTTAATTTTTGTATAAAGACTTAAATGTAAGACCTAAAACCATAAATACCCTAGAAAAAAACCTAGGCAGTACCATTCAGGACATAGGCATGGGCAAAGACTTCATGACTAAAACACCAAAAGCAATGGCAACAAAAGCCAAAATTGACAGATAGGATCTAATTAAACTAAAGAGCTTCTGTACAGCAAAAGAAACTATCATCAGAGTGAACAGGCAACCTACAGAATGGGAGAGAATTTTTGCAATTTTTTATTCAACTGACAAAGATCTAATATCCAGAATCTGCAAGGAGCTTAAACAAGCTGAACAGCAAGAACGTCTGGGCACAGGGAGGGGTACAACACACCTGGGGCCTGTCGCGGGATGGGGAACCAGGGAAGGGATGGCATTAGGAGAAACGCCTCATGTAGATGACGGGTTGATGGGTGCAGCGAGCACCATGGCACGTGTATACCTATGTAACAAATCTGCATGTTCTGTGCATAAATCCCAGAACTTAAAGCATCATTTAAAAAAAAGTTTGAAAATCTATTATGAAATATGCAGGTGCATCAGTTGTCAATCATGTAAGATGTACAACAATATGATGCGATTCTGAACGAGATCCTAGACCATCTTATTTTTCAGAAAGGCTGTTAATAAAAACATTCACCGTTAAAATACCAGAAAAATGGTGTATTTGGATGCAGATGTGGATAAAAATGTGATGACGTTTATGGCCAGTTGCAGTGGCTCACACCTGCAATCCTGCGCTTTGGGAAGCATAGGTGGGCGGATCACTTGAGCCCAGGAGTTATGGAAAAACCCCATCTCTACCAAAACAAACAAAAAACCAAAACAAACGAACAGAAGTTAGCTGGGCATGGGCATGTGTAGTCCCAGCTACTCAGGAGGCTGAGGCAGCAGGGTCACCTGAGCCTGGGAAGTTGAGGCTGCAGCAAGCAGACAGCATGCCACTGCATTGCATCCTGGGTGACAGAGTAAGACCCTGTCTCTAAAAGAAAGTGATTTGCACATTCTAAAAATAATTATTTCACTAATTTCTTAACAGAGAACGAATATAAACAAGTTTTTAAAAACACTTTTGCTTTAATGTTTATAAATGTGTTATTTTGGACATAATTTATTATTGAAAATAGTTTTGGTGATAAATATAAGTCTACTCATAGAATAAACCTGATTTATCAACCAATACATAAATATATCCTAATATATATATAATTTAGTCATTTTAAGCACTACTTTTCGCCCTCAAATTGTCCCCAAAGGCACAATAAGGTCTTCCCACCTTCAGTGTAGTTTTCTTGTGTTTTATGTTTCTTGCGCCCACAAAGCAAGGAAAAAGAGTTAAATAGCAACCAGCGTATCCTGTACCTGTACTCTAAACCTGTAACATTCATTATTTCAGTTTACATGAAGACCTATTCTCTCATCAGCTCAATTATCCCTCACCCAATTCCACTGAATCTGCTCTGTCAGTGTGAGTATAAAATGCATGTGTGCGAGATCCACTACATCTCCAAGCCAACCATTCCCCTGCAGACTCCCCACCAGGGATGAAAAGGGATTAGGACCTTCAGGGAACAGACCCTTCTGCTCCTGAGACCTCTCACAGGCTGCTCAGCTTCGCACTGCCTTCCCTTGCAGTGCTCCTCTTACAGCGCTGAACACAATCAACTGCATCATTAGTAACACGTGGGTGGTCTTCCCGGCGCTCCCCTGTAAGTTCTATTGGTGAAACACAATACAAAATAAACAAAGCAAGTTCTAAAATGCCAACAGGCACGAGGAGTGCGTCACTTGTATGAAATCAAAATAATCATCACTCATCTACAAAGGGGCATAAGAAAAATTCGACTTCCTTTTTGTATTAATTTGTGTATAAGTAACTGAGAAAATCTGAATGTCTGGACTGTGATGTCTACAGCAAAATAACCCCAACATAGACTGGGTGAGTGGTTTTAAAAAAGCCAACTAGGCCGGGCGTGGTGGCTCACGCCTGTAATCCCACTGCTTTGGGAGGCTGAGGTGGGTGGATCACCTGAGGTCAGGAGTTTGAGACCTGGCCAACATGGTGAAACCCCGTGACTAAAAAAATAAATAAAATAAAATGAAAATGAAAAAGATTAAAAAGCAAACCAGCAGAGCACACCATCAGTTTCCACAAAGCACAGATGTTTTCTGCCTGTCCACGGCTGTATCCTTCTATAATGGCTGGAGCGTGGT